CTCTCTCCCTCCCTCCCTCTGCAATGCCAAAGAAATCCACACCGAAATCATTGGGGAGAGGTTAGAGAAAGGAGGGGCAACACTAAACAAAGGACATGCTGCCATAGCATTCCCAGCATCAAGGATACCATTTCACTTGACCAACCCAAATGGCATGCATTTTAATAACCGTTCCTGTCAGACACTCTTCACACTTCATTGAATCTGGCCACAGAAATATTCAATGTTTTTTAAACAAGGCAATAAATACCCACCAGTTGGAGAGTAACAGCCAGCAGCAGTGACAGGAAACAACACGTCAGAGTCATCATTCAGGGTCTGCAGAGGAGCCCAAGCACTGACCGCCGAGTTGCTTGTACTTCCCTGAGAGGGTCTAAATTTAAAAAAAAAAAATTGTGTGGTCATCTAATCCAGACTATTTTCCACCAGTTCAAAAGCAAAATAGCAATTGCTGCTGCACCAGTACACCATGCATGCTTCCATGCAAGGGACACCCTCCTTAAAGCTAGGCTAATCACACAAAGAGGCTCTACAGCAGCAGACTTCAGCCTTTCGGGATCTGGAACCCTCTAAGCTGCAAGCATGCATCAGACGTCATTTGACATCACAGCAGGAACAGGAAGGAGGACAGGAAGGAGAAGGAACCAAAGTTCACCAATTTCAAGATCAGGTCAGAGGGCAGAACACCAAGAGAGCTGGAGGTTCAAGCTGGGCACAACGAGGTGAGTCGTAAAGGTCAAGGTTTCCCTTGCTCGAAAGCCAGCCGAATCCAACTCTAGGGGGTGGTGCTCATCTCCATTTCCAAGTCAAAGAGCCAGCACTATCTGAAGATTTCTCCGTGGTCACGTGGCCGACATGACTAAACGCCGAGGTGCACGGAACATTGTTACCTTCCCACCGAAGCGGTACCTACTTATCTACTTGCAATTTCTTGCTTTCGAACTGCTAGGTTGGCAGGAGCTGGGGCCAGAGACGGGAACTAACTTCGTCATGTGGCACTTGGATCTCAAACTGACGAGCTACAGATCGGCCAGCCTGCAGCTCGGTGTCTTAACCTCTGAGCCACCACAGCCCCATAAGGAGGAACAAACTGGGTCAGAGCCATGAAGGAATCCTTTCCACCACTTAGTTATCTCAACTCGCCACTCCACTACTTCTCACTGCTTGCAGGAAGAGGAAGACAAGAGACTTGGTGCCCACACTGGCACTAGCAGCGGACCCTTCCGAAACAAAAACTAACAAACATGGCTGAAGGAACTCACAACCCAGCCTCCGGGGGTCCATAACACACCTTGGGGCCCAACCCGAAGGCTGAAGACTGCTGCTGTACAGCACTGCATTGGGGTAGTGCATTTGCACATGCCCTCTCGTGCATACACTCCCTCTCTCCCCTAAGAGGTCAATCAAAAAGCTATTTGGTTTTAAAGAAATGCATAAGTAAACATGACCCAAACAGAACGCCCACCAGCACTAAGCTGTAGTCTTCAGCTACCGGAGTTCTTTCAAGCCTCAACAGAGAAAACTGTGCTGCCTCAATTCTGCTGCCAACAAAGGGGGGAAGAACGGAGAACAGGGGACAGCAACAGCATTGATTCCAATTTGGTAAGTTTTCCTCTCAGCTTGAGACTCAGCCAGCCAGCCAGCCCTATGTAGGTATCAGGAGTGAAGTCTGTCATGTTTTTCACATCTCTCTAAAGACAGTTCCCTCCCTCCAAAATTAAAAGTCATTCATGACAGAACTGCTCCAGGCCTAATTACCACAAGAACATGCCAAAACTCTGTCCCTGGCACTATCCAGGGTACTCACTTTCCACAAGATTCTGTATCTTCCCCTAAGCATTGGATTCCCACTGTTTTGCCACAGGTCTCTTCATTATCATCAACATCATCCTCATCATCTATGCTTTTAACATCCAGCTTCTGGAAACCAGTGTCTCCATTGAGATTCATGGGATCATTTTTGAATGAAGTCACCATCTGCTTTCCATTCAGTTTAGTCAGTGGGCAAGAGAAAGACAGCACGTGCCCTGAAGATTGGTCAGAGATCCTTTCCAAACTTCTGCCTGCAGCAGTCACCCGTAAGATGTCACCCAAATCTGGTTCATCTTCCTTGTCATCGAATGAAATAATATTCACTTTCCTCCTTCTCCTCCCACCATTTCCATAATTCAAATCTGGAAGACAAAGAGAGGCAAAAAATTGAAGATTTCTCTCTCACACACACACAAATACAGAGAACAGCCAACACAAGCAGACACGGTTGGGTTATCTTAAAAGCCTTATTACAGAACAAGGCAGTTTTAATGTACAATAGAGAAGGTTGTGGCAGGGGGGAGCACAAATATTTTGCCAGGGCTTAAGCAGTTTAACAAATGGTTATTCCAAAGGGATTGGGGGACTGCAAAGAATTACCGTATTTTTTGGACCATAAGACGCACTTTTTCTTCCAAAAAAAGTGGGAGGAAAAGTGAGTGCGTCTTATGGACCGAAGGTTCAGAATATTTTTTTCCCTGTTTTCCTCCTTTAAAAACTAGGTGCGTCTTAAGGTCAGGTGCGTCTTATGGTCCGAAAAATACGGTAACTGCCCTATAGTTTGGTTTTGTGGAAGAGGCGGAAAGTCCTACTCTGTGAACTTGGATATGGGCCAGTATTTATTTCTGGATGTTGTTCTCTTTTTGCCTCACCACTTTGTGTATTGTACTCATTTATACCCCCTTTCTCCCCAATGGGGACTCAAAGCAGCTTACATTGTTCTCTTTTCCACCATTTTATCCTAACAACCCTGTGAGGTAGATTAGTCCCTGAGTGTGTGATTGGGCCAAGACCACCCAGCAAGCTTTCATGGCAGAATGGAGACTCAAACCTGAGTCTCCTAGCCCAACACTCTAGCCACTACACCATGCTAACTCTCAATTTATGTACATTTTGTACATCAAAAGGAACTTCCAGAGCTTTTCCAATCAATCACAAGAAGCAGCCCTCCAAAACACTGCACAACATGGAAAGTGGGAAGGGAAGTACAGTAGAACCTGACCCAAATTTGTTCTCTTACTTTCAAATATGCTGCTTTTGCTAAATAAGAAAAACTGATATCTGAAAGCAGATCGTGGAGCAACTTAAATTGCAAATCAACACAGCACACATTGGCTTTCCTACATACAGCTCCCGTTTGAATCAAAGGGAAAAAAAATCAAAGAAAAACAGCTTTTCACTGCTCTCTAGTTTTATCTTTCTTAAAGATACACAAAAGCAATTTTAAAAACACTATTTTAAGTTTGTCTGCCACATTTTTTTGCACATTTGATCCAACATATGAATTGAACAGGGGAAAAAAACGATTCCTGTACATTCTTGTTCTTTGCAAAGTTATTCAGTGGCTTTACAAAGAGGTTTTTATAAAATTACATGCTAGAACTTAGGAAATAAAGTTATGAGGATTCTTACTGAGAGTTCCCATTTACAGTTAAACCTTGGAGACAGAATCAAATTTAGCATTTTTGGGGGGGGGAGATCACTTCAGTTTTCTTTGGTTAAGAACACTATGATGATAAACTATTTTATGTATGCCCTGTTAGCCGCCCTGAGCCTTCGGGGAGGGCAGGATATAAATCTAAAGAATGAATGAATGAATGAATGAATGAATGAACCTACCTAAATAAATTTTCTAAAATAAAAACTTTTGGACCCAGGGGAAGTTTTATTCTTTAGGGAGAAACTCCACCTCAACTTGAGTCTCAGGCACTCCCCCCCCTTTAATATAGGCAAGACATTGCTCAAAATGTGACACCAAGCCAAGGCTGGTGCTGTGTGATAAAACCTTGCTTGTGCATGCCCCTCGCTATCCCTCACACCATCAAAGGCAGCCATTCCTTCTAATTCAAGCTATACTTTGTGCATCCTTGCTTGTCTGTTCAATGTGATTGCAATCACACACATGAACACACACACATCTACTAAATAGATGCAGGTGGGTAGCCATGTTAGTCTGAAGCAGCAGAACAAACGAGTCCAGTGGCACCTTTAAGACCAACAAAGTTTATTTCATGCACACAAAAGCTTACACCCAGAATTAAACTTCGTCGGTCTTAAAGGTGCCACTGAACTCAAACTTTGTTCTACAGCCATCAAATGACAACAGCCATGGTTTGTATTCCTGGTCTGGAGGAGAAGCCATAACCCACAGTTTGGCAAGATCATCCTAACTTCTAAAACAGTTTGCCCTACAGAAAAGTAACATTAGCTGACTGAACATACAGAGGACTGAATGAGCACTAGGGCTGTTTACATGGCACCACACTATTCTTTGGGAAGACTCAAAAAAGGAACCACATCCAAAATATATATGGTGCAGGTTAGTTCATGCATCACTTCTGTCCACAGAGAAGAAGAAAAGAGGTGCAACAGGCCAAGACTCACTAGGTTAAACTATCTCTCCCCAAAATTATAAGGTAACAGACAAATAGAGGTTGCTAACAATCAGTGCAGCAACCCCACAGCCTGACAAAATCCATTTAGCACTCCTCTGAACTTAAAGGCTTGATTAAAGGAGGGCAAACAATCTGGTGAACCTGAAAGTCCCCTCACAGGGCAAGGCAAATGTATCCTTTAGCACTCGTGCAGAAACAAGCAATTGTGTCAACAGAGGAGATATAGTCCAGGAGACAGGATTCCTTATTGCAAAACAAACATGGGGGGGGGGGGAATACAAAAGCCCTTGACATGGAGGCTTCCTTGACACATTTAAATACCTCAAGCACCTTAGTAGCACTTACCACCACTAGCACTCTTTGGAAAAACTGGTGATAGGTCTGTGTCTTGATCCGATTTGATTAGAATCGAAACAGGAGAAGATGCTGTGATCTCCCGAAGAAGGCTGCTAACCCCTTGTGTAGATCCTTTCAACAACGAGGTAACATTCTGCGTGGATTCCTTGAGAAGGTGGGATACCGTGGAAGTGCCTTTGCTTTGTCCATTTAAATCCTTGTTATCAATGTTGACAGCAAAAAGAATCGGGTTCAGACCTTCAGATAAAGCAAGGGAGATCCCTGATGCAGCGTAACTCCATACACAAAACACAACAGACTACGCCCAAGTGTGTCATTACTGGACATAAATACCATAGCACACACCCTATTTCACCCCTATGTGGGCAAGAAAGCAAAAAACAATCTTCCTAACAGCCATCCCATATGCATCAGTACCGCCAGACAATGCTTACCAGCTGCCATGGTGGGGATCATACTGGAGCGTTCTTCATCCATCATGAAAGACCAGTCTTCATAGAAGACACTGTGTGTAAAGAAAAAAAAAGCAGTAGTAAAACAATGAAGAAAGCTGCATATATATCAAATTGCATCCAGCAACCAGCAAAGAGGCTGGCAATTGCAAATCTTCTCTGCTTTCTCTCCCCCCTCCCCCAGCAGTTTTTCCCAACCCTGCAGGCTGAGAGGCTCCAGCAAGGAGAGGGATGAAATTGCCCTTTCTGCCTCTTCTGCCACCAAAGCCAACAGAAGCCTGACAAAGTTCAGCCACTACAAAGCTGTGCAGGAACTTCTGGAGCAGGCACCTGGCCAGTTTTGGGGGGAAAATGACAATACACACACCCATGATAAGTGCCCACCACCAACAGGTCTCAAAGATAGAGGTTTGGATACAAACTAAAAAAATTCCATGTATGGAAATTTTCCTGCTTCCCTTTCTTCCACTGCAGTCCATTGTTCCTGCAGAAATACTTTTCCAGGGGAACAGGGAACCCTCAGAAATGGCACAGGGGCAGATCAGGGATATGCAACAGGAAGGGGGAATTGGCAGGAACTCCACCACCACCCTTCCATTAGTTGAACATTTATTCTAGAACCAACCCATCAGTGCCGACTCCCACTTAGCCATACTTGGTCTTGGGCAACTTTTTTTTTTTTTTGGCCATCAAGTCATAGTCAATTTTATAGTCATTTTCTAGCCCTAGTGTCAGACTCCCACAGCATCAACGAAGTACACACTTGCAGAAAGGTTTTACTTTATTTGAAGCTATAGGTGCATAGACAGGATCACTGTTCGGAATAAGACTCCCACAGCATCAACGAAGTACACACTTGCAGAAAGGTTTTACTTTATTTGAAGCTATAGGTGCATAGACAGGATCACTGTTCGGAATAAGGGGGGAGCAAAGAGCATGGCATGTTATAGTACATTCAAACCACTGAGGCCCAATTGCGGGAGTTCCCCCGCGAGCCATCGGGCCTGGGAGCAAACGCTTCTAGGCAGCATACGTTATCTCCTTCCCATGGTATTTCGTGAGCTCACCCAAGCAACTATTCAGCAGCAGCAACCACCTGTGGCCTTGAGAGATATAGACGTTTTGGCAGCCAAGCAATTAAGCGCATCAACAGGTCTACATATGGAAGTGAAAGCAATCAAGCGCATAGAAGAAGAGAGAAACAAAACATTGGCAGCTTGCTGACACCTAGTCCAGAACTCTATCCATCGTAGCTACCCAAGGACTCCGAAGCACTATACAGCAAGGAGCTGTGTAGTCATAGAGCCTAGGAGCTGGAGAACTTTGGTCTCCCAACTCTACAGTCTGATTGTTTTTCAAGTTGCCTAGAATTGTGCTTAAAACAGGAAATTTGCACAATTCCTCAGTCTCACTTTTGCTATAAATGTTATTAACTGAAATTACTCATTTCAGTCTGTTGCTGCCGTTTCTGCTGCCTCAACAGGCTCCTTCCTGAAAACACCACTTTACCTTTCAGGAAAAGTATTATGCAGAAATTACCTAAGCCGATTCTTATCCGCCAGTAGCATATGGAAGTATCTTTCCAAGGAATGCTCATTCAGCGCACAACGCAGCCAGGCACGGCCTCTGCCAACATCTGTTGTAATGTTCTTTAGAGAGTAGAAACGCTGGAGTTCGTGCCTGTTAAGAATTTCTTTCACGTAATACCAGAATACAGGATCTGGGAGAGATAAAAAGAATGTATATATTCACATCTAAAATTATTTAGATTTTTTCAAAGGAATAACAAGTTCAAAGAACTGCCTCCATCTAATCTCTTTTCAAGCTCCCAGGCCTTATGACCATGCACTCCACCCCCGCACCCAAAGTCTTTCAAGCTGGGCATCAAGCAGCTATTTACAAGACAGTTTTATTTCAGAAAACTGTATATCTGGCTTCATTCCTTTAAAACAGAATTATGTTACAGCTGGTTGAACCTCTAACCTGCCACTGGACCTTCCTGCACAGAATGGCTTTGAAATTATTCACTGTAGCCCTAGAGAATCCACCTTTTATGGCCAAACCTAATGTCCTGTGTCTAAAGGTCATTTAGCTCAACATTTAATTGTTGTCGGTAGCCAAAGTGAGGAGAATAATGTTTCAGCCTGCTGCTTAGGGGAGTTGTTTTATTTAATTAACAGAGGAGCTTTAGGGGAAGAACTACTTCTTTAACAGAGCATTAAAAAGAAGAAGAAGAAGAAGAGATTGGATTTATACCCCGCCCTTCACTTGGAGTCTCAGAGCGGCTTACAAACTCCTTTCCCTTCCACTCCCCACAACAGACACCCTGTGAGGTGGGTGGGGCTGAGAGAACTCTGACACAAACTGCTCTTTTTCAAGGACAGCTGTGCCAGAGCTTGTGACTGACCCAAGGTCAAATCAGCAGGTTCAAGTGAGGAGTGGGGAATCAAATCCGGTTCTCCCAGATTAGAGTCCGCGCACTTAACCACTATACCAAACAGATGCCAAAAAAACTCAGAATGGGTTATAAAGTTATAGAAATGTTTCACCTTCCAAGTCATGCACTCAGCAAACCCCAGGACACACAGCACTGGTCATTGACAATAATAGCCAAACATTCTGGAGGAACCAGTCGTGCCAGCTGGGGCAATACTAATTCAGAAAGAAAGTCCCCCAAACGTCCATATTGCCTAGATCGAAACCCAAAGTTGTATAAAGATGCAAACAAGCAACAGCAAAGTATTATTTGAGACCCAGAATGAAAGGAGTGAGACATGCAAGGACTCACAAAGAGGGGGAGTTTCTTCTCCTGCACAAGTCCCTCATCTCTGCTCTCCCTCTCTCTACTCCCCCGTCCACCGTAACTTACCTGCTCACCTACACCTCTTCAAGCCCTCTGTCTACACCTCCAGATTTTCCCCAGCACCCTTTCCAGCTCCCACTTTCCCCCCATCCTTGTCAGCCTGTTCTTCTGCCACACTCAGTCTCTCTTCATATCCCCTCTCAACAACTCCTGCTTCCCCTCACCAGTCACTGCCTTTCATTGTTGAACACCATTTTGTGTTGCTATGACAATCCCAGCGGAGTATTTTAACTCACCACATCTGGGTGTATGCAGTCATCAGCATTTTGGTAGATGGGAGTGGTTAGCCCCCAAATTCTGAACTTTTTTGCACCCTAGCCCTGTGTTGTAAAAATGCACTGTACGTTTTTGTTATCTGCATGGGGGAGAAGGGGGACACACCACAGCTCACAAAAGCTTCAGACTCAGGGTGGCATCTCACAAAGGTGTTTCCCTGAAAGGCACTCTAACATCTAGAAAAAAGTCATTGTGGCAACAGAAAAATAAATGGAAGAAATGAAAAGACCGGGCATCCTACCCCCAAGAACAGTTTCCTTAGAAGCTGCAAGAAGAACATGAATTACTTGTAGGGCAAAGGACCCCCCAAGCTCAATGTAACTTGAGAAGCAGCCTTTAATGAGCTTCCTAAGAAGCCAGATCCAACTAAGAATGTGCCTTCAGACTAGCTATATTCAGCAATGCCTTCTGAGGGCTCTCTCCTAGCACAACTTGTGTGATCCACCTGATGCTGGATGGTTTTACATTTCCCACAGCATGTACCAGCTGGTGATCCTAGGGACCTATGGGACAACTAACCCTTTTTGACAGCACATTTTTTTAACCATTAAGGAAAAATTAACCATGAACTCTCTTTTCCTTGGATTTCTCTACCCTAGGTGCAAAGTTGGAGAAGCACTGCCAATCTCTTCTCTTTTGTCTGTAGGCTGTAATGTAGTACATACTTGGGTCTTGAATGAACTAACTGCATCATCACCAATGCTCCCTTCTAAGCTGTGGAGTCCTGTGAGCAAAAATTCCACTTTGTGAGCTGCTGGCATGAAAGTTGTGAGCGAGCCATTTGGCTGCTGCATAAATTTAGTTTGCTCTGGAGCCCTCCTTCCTGAGCTAAGACAAAAATGTGTGAGCGGGAGGCTAAAAAACCATGAGCTAGCTCACAATGACTCAGCTTAGAGGGAACACTGATCATCACATGAGCACATGGAACTACCTTACACCAAATCAGACTATTGGTCAACCAAGGTCAGTCTTGTCTACTCTAACTGGCAGTGGCTTTCCAGGATCTCAGGCTGAGGTCTTTCATAACAACTACCTAATCCTTTTAACTGGAGATGCTGGAGAATGAACCCGCAACCTTTTGCATGCAAAACAGGCACTCTGCCACTGACCCACAGCCCCTCCTCTCATCAGATAAAATCAGCTGAAGAGTTACCATCCTACCTTCTAACCAATAACCTTCTAAAACAAGCTAATGCAGTGTGTAGCCCAGAAAGAGGAAGGGAAGCCTAGGAAATGGTGGGACAGGAGCAGGGTTCCCCTGATAGCATCTTCCTGCAGCAATGGCACCTGTCCCTAAGAGGGCTGAGCAAGGCTAATTGTCAGACCCTTGAGTTAATCCACTCTCAGACTAATAGTCTTTTATGAAAGCTTTATTAGAAACAGAGATTTAGATGTGCACAAGAGAGATCTCTTGTTCAGACTAAAGAACAGATCAAGGGTTAGGTATTGTATAGGCAATAGGTCAGTATCCCATAATGCAAAGGTCATGCAGTGGGCATTCACCCTCTCACCCTCTTTCACTCCCCCCCTTCATACTACACAGCACTACAAAAGTTTATTATCCAGCAACAGATGTTTCTCCAAGGATGAGAGGCTCCTGATGGCCAGTTCTCCCGCAACACATACACACAGATATATGACATTCACACCTACTCCTCCCATCCCTCGGAATTTATGGCAGAGAGGGCTAGAAAGGAATGAGACCAAATGGTCATAATGGCCCAAAAGTGAAAGTAACCTACAAAGGCTGAAACAAATGATTTTAAAAATGACAATCAGCCCAGCCCGATTCTGACACTAATGATGCAACCAGCCACACATATTTCTTGCATCCCACAAAGAACGAAAGCTTGCTGAAGGACCCAGGCTTGGCCTTTCTACTGCTTACTCATCCCTCCAAAGCAGAATTGGTTCAAACCAATTGGTTCATCTCCCTTCCACGTTGTACTTAGAAGAGTTTTACAGAGGCAAAAATGCCACCAGACGTGACTTGCTATAACACTGGCAAATCAAGCTGTCTCCATTTTAATGCACATCTTCAACGTATGGCAGCTCTCTTTCAGGTCCCGGCCAGACAAAGCTAGATCCCTCAGGCACCTGCTTTTGGCTTCCAAAGCTCCCTCTGCCGGCAAAATAGCCAGATACTATGCCATTCATGGCAACTGACATGACAAAACTAATTAACTGAAGCTTTCCCCCATAACTAGTTTTCTGCTAGAAAAAAAGCTTCATCTGATTCTTTCTTTATGTCTTTATGATTCTTGAAACAGTACCTCCTCACGCTCATAGGACAGGAAAGTTACAAAATAGGGTAGGAGAAGTAGAAAGGCATGCTATAATATTAGTTATTGGCATAGCTGAAATTAACTTATTACCAAGTATTCAGACACAAGTAAAAAATAAAACATTTTTTTGAAAAATAAGCAAAGCATTTTGGAAGCCAAATTACCCATTTCCATTTTACTGGAGAAGCCTGCTGCCTGTTTAATTGCTGCTGCAGTTAAGGCTAATCCCCGCCTCCTCTTCAAACCATGCTGGAGCACAGATTCGAACTGAGCACACAGACATGTAACTCTGCAAAAGAACAAGAAACATAATGAGAAATGCTATGAGGTATGGAAGCAAGACTAGGAACTAGAGTTAGATACTCAGATCCAAAGCCTTTTATTGACATATAAATAAAGATACAGTAATCTAAATACAAAATCATGCAGAGTAAAATTAAAACTGCAGAGTAACATCAGAGAGAGTTAGATACTAAATTCTCCATTTACCTGCAGAATCATTTACACTGAACACTGCAGTCAAACCACAAATGGTAGATACTTTTGCCTACCCACAAGCAGTGTTCCCTCTAAACTGAGTTAGTCTGAGCTAACTCACAGATTTTTAGCCTCCAACTCACACATTTTTGTCTTAGCTTAGAAAGGATGGCTCCAGAGCAAACGAATTTGTGCAGCAGCCAAATCACTCGGTCACAACTTTAATGCCAGTAGCTCACAAAGTAGAATTTTTGCTCACAAGACTCCACAGCTTAGAGGGAGCACTGCCCACAAGTAATATAACTATTTTCAGCCAAGTCCAGACTGGGCCAGCATACGACCATCTCTCCACCGGAGGACGTTAAAGTGTCTGCAGGTGGCTACTCACCTTCTACCATCTTCCAGAAGAACCAGGAAAGGATGTCTTTTAATTGTATTTATGCTTTGAGTGTTAGCTGCCCTGAGCCCGCATTGTGGGGAGGGCGGGGTACAAATGTGATTAAAATATAAAATACAAATAAATAAATAAATAAATATTTTATCTACTTCACTTATACCCCACCTTTCTCTCCAATGTTCATTTTATTATTTCAATTCAGATACCATCCCTCCCCCACAAAGTGGGGCTCAGAGTGGTTCACAGTAGTATAAAGACAGAGGAAATAAATATAGTTAAAACAGTATAAAATACAGATAATAAAAATGGGGACCCAAAGTGGCTTACATTATATTCCTCCATTTTATCTTCACAACAACGCTGTGAGGTTAGAGAAGCTGAGAGTGTGTGACTGGTCCAAGGTCACCTAGTGAGGTTCTGTGGCAGAGCAGGGATTCAAACGTGAATCTCCCAGATCCTTGCCCCTTATTAACCATCACACCACACTGGCTCTTGTTCTTCTGCTGACAGACAATGAGCAGGAGCTGTCCATCTAAATTATGAATTGGATGGTGCAGTTCTGTTCCACGACTGATGGCTGAAAGAAGAGGCATTTCTGCCAGGAAAGCTCCTTGGGCCAGAGAAAAGTGCCTCTGCTAGTGGAATAGATTCACACCATCCAACCCTTTGTGTTTTTAAATTAAGTTTTGGAAGTTGCTTCACCACCAACATCCCTAGAAACTGGCACAACATTTATCAGCAACTGGGATGGCAGTGTAGTTCTTATCAACCCATTGTTATCTAAATGCAAGACTTTACACTGAGTAGTCTGATGCCCAGGTTGGTTTTAGAGACATTGTCCCACAATATTTCTAATAAAGGCAGTATACTGACCAGCCTTCTTTACAATGTCCACTTTGACCATTAGAATAGGCAAGGACAAAAACAACTGCCCTTTTGTAATCTCAGCTTTTTCTCCAGGAAAACATCTTTTATTTCTGAAAGTTACACAAAATATTTAGCATAAAGCTGAGCCAAAGTATCTGCCAGGATAATCAATGTACGACTAGAACCTAAGTTACTATACTCCCTTATTGATGAACAGGAGTTACAACATTCTGATTCCAGCCCTGAAGATCAAAGCCAGTGGTATTTATTTAATGCAAAGGAGAGCGGCTATTACTAGTATCTACCAGATCAGATAGTGTTTAAACAGTTCCCCAGATTATTTGAAGCCCATTAAGCCCATTAAGACTATAAATCACAAGTACTGGTCAGAAATTCAGAAACCCCCTTTATAGAAACTATAAAAACTATCAGCCCAAATAAAAGAGAAGAGAAACTGCAAAATGCAGAAGTTTTTCAGTTTCTTCTTCCCTAAAATAAGCTTGAGAATCAACCACAGAACACGTTCTAAGAAAACAACCGTAAATACCTCCTTGAGAAATAATTGTACCCTAGCCACAATAGCTCCCAGAAAAGCCCACGCAAGAGTCCCATTGATCATGCACTGGACCCTACCTACAATGCAGAACATCCAATTATGATTTAATATACGTCACCAGAATTTAGGCATCAGTGGAGACTACAACATATACCAGCAAATATGCAGAACCCAAATATCTTGGTCGCTCAATCTAATAAAAGGCCTAGATAAACAAAAAACGCCTCCCACCTGCCACCACCAGGTCACAAGATTCAGTGCCAGTCAATTAGCCAGGGAGGAGGAAATTCCAAAGTTGGGGGAGCCACAAAAGAAAAGGCTCATCTTCTAATCTATCTAGCACCCAGTACTGATGGAAAACAAAGCAGGGCCTGTGATACAGATGTTAACTGCTGGGAAGGAGTATATGGGAGTAGGTGATCCTCCAGATATCCTGGTTTCCAGCTGCTTGATTATATTTATGCAACAGAATTTCTCACTTCATTTCAAAAAAGACTAGGGGTGGGAATAGAGATGTAAACTTTCCGGAAATTTTGAAGCTCGGAAAAAACCCCGCTTTTTCCCGGTTTTTTTCGGGGGGAAACAGAAATTTTCAGAAAAATTGAAAAAAATGCTACATTAGCATTTCTTTTGTCTTTTCTAGATTGAAAGTCATTCTGTTACTTTAGGAACATAAAATATGACTATGGACATGCCTGGACATTTTTACTTGGCATGAAATCATCACAACTAGCTTATTAAAAATATAGTGTATCCAAACAATTATTACAAACAGAATACCCATCCACATGCAAAAACAAAACTGAAACTTTTTTATTTTCTTCTGACAATCGCACCTCCTAAAGGAAGAAATGCATCTTGTTCTTGCATTGGAGAGTTCAGTTTGTAACCCAGGACTTGCTTGTCCTCAGTGCACAGAAATTAGATCAATCGGATATATATATTTTAGAAATGATTTGGAAAATATTTGAACACCTTGTCTTAAAATATTTTATTCATCATGTTAAAATAAAACGTTCCATTTTTTTTCCTTTCTTTTTTCAATGTTTCCAATTTTTTGGAAAAAAACCCAAAAGGCTTCAAGAAAAAAACGGGGGAAAACCGTTTTTCCCCCGAATTTTTCCGGGCCTTCACATCTCTAGGTGGGAATCACACTGAAGGCTTACATCCAATATTCACTGCAAGGACACAGTGTTGGGGTTTCCCCGATTTCTTTCTTTTTTTTTCCATTTTAGAACACAACTCCCTGCGCTGGGTCAAAGGCCACATTCAAGGTTACGAAGTCAGGACCCTCATACCTTAGTTTCAGCCTCAAAATCCTATGCATACACATTTTATTTCTTATATTTACATCGTACCTTTCTGCCCAGTCAGGGCCACCAAGGCAGCTAACAGCTAAAACAGCATAATTCATACATCATTAAAACCAAAGCTAAAAATACATCTCTAAAGCATACAGTAGAAAGCAGGGGTCACTGAGGGAATGTAAGACAAAACAAAATAAGTCTTTACTCACTGGCAGAAGACAATGACAGAAGGGAACAGATAAATATTGCTGGGAAGTAAGTTCCATAATTTTGGCACTCTAAGACATACAACTAACCCCTTCCACACACACCCCAGACCAGCACAAATGTGGCTACCAAGTAACCAGTTGACTATACATATAAAGATTTGTTCTGTAGCTGACACGTGATGAACACATGTTCCCTAAGACTTACCTGCTATCTGAATCAGATGCAATCTCTTTCCTTCCTCCAAATCTGATCTGGCACTGTAATAAGCACAACCACATCCATTAAATAAATCAGAAGAACAGTTATTTTTAACAGAAAACATTACTCAAGAGTCAGATCTGTTTCATTAAAACCTGTGAAGTAGACCAAAGATGCAAGGTGCTTCAGTTGCAAACAAACCCTGCCTGCATAAGGCAAAATGCCACATTAATTCACAAGAATCCACACATTTTGGCTCAGCTTACTAACCAGCCATAAGTTGGGAACAATGCTCCCTCTAAGATGTGGAGTTTTGTGAGCAAAAATTCTGCTTTGTGAGCGACTGGCATTAAAGTTGTGAGCGAGCCATTTGGCTGCTGCATAAATCAGTTTGCTCTGGAGCCATCCCTTCCTGAGCCAAGACAAAAATGTGTGAGCCAGAGGCTAAAAAACTGTGAGCTGGCTCACACTAACTCAGCTTAGAGGGAACACTGGTTGGGAATGTCATTGATTCCACACAGCCTATCCTCTATTTGCGGGATATGATTAAGAAGGTAGAAGCAGGGAAGAATTCATGTATCTTCTTTCCTTCTCTAAAAGTTGTCCCTTCCAAGTCCTCTGTGCAATACTGGGGAGAAGCTCAGCCTTGTTTTACTTAGTATGAACGTGCCTGCAGGAGCAGCCGCACCAATCTCTTGTACTACTTAGCCTTTCAACAAAGCCAACACACTAATGCTCTTCGAGCCCTGACACTTTCATAAAGAACAGTCATTATTTGCCACTTTTGTAGATCTGAAAGTGGCTTTTGATTCCATTTCAAGATCGAAATTGTGGGCCAAATTAGAAATTTCTACAATAGAGAAGCGTCTCCTTTTCCTACTCCGTGCTCTGCATAATAATACTCACTTGAGGATTAGGTTAAATAAGAATGGAGATCTATCAGACCCTATTAAGACCCACAGGGGAGTCAGGCAAGGTTGCCTATTAGCGCCTTTTCTGTTCAATTTTTACATTAATGATATAGTAAGGGATTTGGATTCACCTAGTTTACACCCACCAAAATTACAACAAATACATATCTCTGTCCTATTGTATGCAGATGATGCTGTACTGCTGGCTAGAACACCTGTGGGCCTTAGGAGAGCCCTCAAGAGATTTGCTGACTTTTGCATGAAGAAGGAACTTGAAATTAACTACCAAAAGACCAAGGTTATGGCCTTTGGCACTAGACAAAACAAAAGGACCTGGTCGATTAATGGGCATTCCATTGAGCAGGTCTGCTGTTTTAAATATTTAGGCATGGTCCTTCGATCTTCAGGGGCCAAAAATGCCCACATTTAGTATGTGGCGATGCAAGGTGAAAGAACTGCCAATAACATCCTTAAGTTTTATCATACAAAAGGGGCTCTTTTCGTTCCAGCTGCTCAAAAACTTTTTCAGGAAAAGGCAGTCGCACAAATGCTCTATGGCACCTTAGTTGGCCCCTCTTCTTCCAGCTTTGCTCCTCTTGAGAGGGTTCAAACCAAATTTCTTAGCGCTATCCTTCAGGTCCCGAGATGTGTCCTGTTGAATTACTTTCTCTAACCAAACATATTACCACTCAGACAAAAAATCAATCACAGAAAATGATTTCCTAAAAGATCTACACAGTTAAAAGGGGAAATGCACATTGTTACTGCTTATGGAAAAAACAATAAATAAATATGGCTAAAGATCAAGCATATTTATTTTACAGAACAACAATGAATAGATACATGTACAAAAACAACAAATAACAATTGTTCCTAATTATTCTCTGACATGGGAGCTCCAGTGATTATGAAAGTTTCCAAGTTATAAGGACTCTCTCCCATTTGGCGCTCCAGATTCTTACCTGTTTCACTGCATCCAATAACCTCTCAAGCAGAAACTGTCTTCTGTCAACACTGTTCTGCAGCCCTAGAATTCAAGAAAACATAAATGATCTTCTACATCAAGCAAGACAGAAGCTAGACGGCCATCTGGCAGCAATGCTGATTCTGTGAATTTAGGCAGATCATGAAAGGGAGGGCAGGAAGGGCTGCATCAATGCTTAGTTCTCCTGGTCCTTTCTTACACGCCCAAGGAAATGCCAACTGTCATGTTGGGGTCAGGAAGCAATTTTCTCCAGGCTAATTTGGCTAGGGATCCTGGAGGGTTTTTTGCCATCTTCTGGGCATGGAGCAGGGGTCACAGGTGTGTGTGAGGGAGGTAGTTGTGAGTTTCCTGCACTAAATGTCGTCCCTTCCAATTCTATGATCCTAATAAATAACAGAAAAGGATATAGACTGTTATAAAATATCTGTCAAAGTCTGACCATCTAGAGCACTTATCTGAGGAAGTGTGCTTGCATACAAACGTTTATACCTTGTGCGGCAAAATGGGGACCCGCCCTCAGCCCTGGGAGACTGAGCAGCCATTCGGTGGGCTCACAAGCCCCTGTTTTCGCCTTCCCACCCTGCCTGGTGGGACTACTTCCTTTCCACAGTTGCTGCCACCACTCACTGAATTTACACCACCTTCCTAGAGGGGCAGTGAGACCCCTCTGACTGATTCCCCAAGCCAAGGAAGTGAATACCTTAATCTTTGGGCACTCCCTGGAGAGTTGGCAACCACTCCGATTTGGGCCCATTCCGCTTCCCTGGCCTTCCTTCGACATGAGTTAATGTGCTGACTGGGGAAGACTACATGATCAAAGCACTACCAGGTTTTATAATTCAAAAAGAAGGTTTAATTTAACTATGTACAAGGTTAGGCACAGACATAACACAACCACTTCAACACAACCAGGCAGAAAATAAACAGGATCAAACCGCAATTCCTCGGTCCCTACACACACCCTGATCCCTGATCTAACTACCTCCATAGTGAGTGGCTACAGGACAGGATTCGTTCTCCCCCTCCTTGTCATTGGAGTGAAACTTCAGCCCCTCCCTCAGGACTGGTCACCAATACTGCTACCTTCCTGGCTCTCCACCACGATTTATAGTGGCCGGGATGGCCCACGGAGTGTGAGGTAGCAGGAGTCCCACCTATGCGCAGCCCCTCAAAGCTGTAGTCCAAGACCAAGACGAAGGCTGAGACCAGCCCCCCCCCCGATGGGCAGAAACCTTTATCTGGGTGACTCCGCCCCCGGGGAGGGCCCCTACTTTCCCTGCACTTTTTCTTCAAAGCTGCTGGGAAATGTAGGCAGGGAGGTATGGCAGCCGCATTGTCCCCTATGGAGCACCTCCCCCCTCTAGAAGGACTACCAGATTGGCAGCCATTTTAAAATAAACTGCTGCCTCTCCTTGGCAGCCATCTCGTTACACTTTGAATAAAACTTCATTGGTCTTAAAGGTGCCACTGATCTCAAACTTTGTTCTGCTGCTTCACACCCACACGGCTACCCCACTTGAATCTATCTAGAACACTATAAGGCCCATGTGCCGGGTTTCCCCAACCCTTAACATCACTCAGGCTGCGTTCACACAGAGCATTAGCCACGGCACAAAGACGGAAGATAGGTGGATTTTCCAGGCACGATCACAGCGCCACATCTGGGAAGCGTAGAGCTCCCGTGGCGAACCTGAGGCTTCCTGACAAAGATGCGGGGTAAAAAACTAGTACCTCCGAGGTACTAGTTTCCGGAAAGCGCGAGGCAAGGGCGGGCACCTGATCGCGTTTCCGGTGGTAGGTTGTGGCATCCGGCACCCGTCCATGTCCCGTCGCTAAAAGGTTGTTTTTTTTCAAGTCTCCACGGGATGCGCACAAGCACCCAACGGTGCATGCGCACACTTCGTTTAAAAACAAACAACACAGCCCCCTCCTCTTTTCCGTACCCCCCCACACACACACACTCCTGGCTTGGCCTGCTCGAGAGGAACTCTCTGCACCGGGCGGCAGAGGGGGAGGTGCAGGGGGGGCGTGGCGGGAGGGCGGCCCGGCTGAAGCTCCTCTTGGAGGGAACCTGACGGAGGACACAGTTTGCATTCCTCTGCAGCCCTGGAAGGGGTTAAACCCGCAGAGCCTTTTGCTAGGGAGGCCGCTTCTTTGCCGCGCTGCAGGATTGTCCTCTGATTGGCACCTCCCCCCTAACCGCGGGACCTCAACAGGACCTCGACAGGACGTCTGAATGCGCGGCCACGCGTTATTTTGCTCCGGGACAAACTGCCACGCTTCCCCCCCCCCCCGACGCATTTTCCTGCCCGTGTGACTGGGGCCTCAATAGCGCAAGGATAACAAGCATGCTCAGTCTTTAAACTGATTGAGGGAAGGTGTCCCTCGTGCTATATGGGAGACTTAAGAGGGTGAAGAAATACTGTGTTTGGAGAACACCTCACAGCATACATCCCTCAAACCCAATTTAAAGCATCCTTTTATGTGCATATATGGTCATGATTAGTTAAGATCAGAAGTGGCATTTTCCCTCCACTTCTAAGTAACATCACCTGCCATTTAGCTTCAATGTCGTACATACAGCACTTGGACAGATGCAGGTAAGGATCTTATGTGTCATACATGTCCCAAGACAAATGTGGGCAGTCACAACCTTGTCTAGAAACAAATACTGAGAAAACAGTTGTTGAGGGTCTGACCCACATAAAGTGTTATCACAGAACCAGGAATAATATAATGCATTTAGTAGTAGGACGTTGATCTCAAAACTATTCAGGCTGCGAAAATGCCACTCAGTTTCTGACAGATCCCAGGCATCTCGGCACTTTTTGTGTGAAAGCTCTTGTACTACTTTATAGAATATTTCCTTAGGAAGATCCATTTTTTAAAAAAAACATTGTTATAAAATCCAAAGATGACGTTGATGTATTCTTATAAAAGGATTTTCTTGTGATTTGATGGAATGTGTTCATTGTTATGTAGTGTTTACTGGCAACAATATATAGGAAACATTTTCCCTTGTAAGTCTTGCTGACTATCTTGATTTGTGGGTCAGACTCTCATGACTCTTTGCTCAGTATTTGTTCATACATGTCCCAACCTTAATTCCTCACTCTAGAACATCTTAGCTTTCAGAGGCTGTGGTTCAGTCCATGGATCCAGAAGGGCAATACACACTGTCCATTCTCACCAGGCAGTTTTGGAGGAGGGCATCGTTATGAGTTACTTATTGCACATATACCTGCTTTACTTCCACCATGGAACTGAAAGCAGCATACAGAGGGGTTTCCAGACGACCATCCATGAATTAACCTGGCCCAGACATGCTAAGCTTGAGCATGCCTGCAGTACTATGCACCCTTCCAACCATACCTTGGGACCAAATTTTTCAAATTCAAGCACAAACAACCTATGCAAACCAGAAGATATTCCCCAAATTCAGTCAGTCAGTCATTTATTACGGCAACAAGCCATAGAACACACATGCTTAAATATAACATTCATAACATTCATATAACTGAATTTAGGACCCCAAATTCAGAAATTCTTCCCTTTAGTGCAGGCAGGCCCACTTTTTTACCTACTGATTGCCAATAGGAGGAGAGATTATTATTTTTCTCCAGAGTTGTGAAAGAGCTTTACTTTTCATACATTCACTGAAACATACAATTTACACTACATGAAGCAGGGAGGGGGGAATAACATGGAATGAAATAATAATCTGAATGCAATAGTGGACTAAATTTTCCAGTGGCAGAATGGAACCTCCCTGACTCTGTCCTGCCCACTGCAGCCCACAAATCTCCATGAAATGTTGCTCTTGGGTTACGGGGGACCCTGAGCAATAATGACACAAGAGGGGTCTGCAGCAGAAAGAGGGAGTTGGTGGAAATTGTCAGTTTACTCTGGATTCAACCCACTATCCTTATGGGCCAATACAACTGACTGGGGTGTTCGTTTATCTTGCCTACATAAAGTCACCAGAAGTTGAGATGTTCTCCTTGACACTTTGACAGACATATCTACAGCTAAACTGATGTGCTATAAAAGACATCGCAGCTGCAAGTGTGCAGGAGGGAGAACACTTGGCAGATGTTAACCAGCAAAGCTATGTCTAAAATTTAAAAGAAACTACATTTTAAAAAGTTACAATTCACAACATTTCCTTAGCCAACTACAAGGAACAAAATTACAAAAAACTCAAGTGTGAGGCTGTCGTCAAAGGTAGGCTACCATCAGCCCTGTGGTGAGGTGCCGTCCTGTGGCTTGCAAGCCCGTTTTGGCCTTCCCACCCTGCCTGGTGGGGCTATTTCTCTCCGTTAAACACTGCCACCACTCACTGAATTGACACAGCCTTCCTAGAGGGACAGTGAGACCCCTCTGGCTAAATTCCCCACCTTGGGAAACGGGTACCTCAATCTTTGGGATCCCCCTGGAGAGTTGGCAGCCCCTCTGATTCAGGCCTGTTTGTGTTCCCTGGCCTCCCTTTGCCCCTGGTAACATGCAGAGCGGGGAGAACTATGTGGTTAAGGCACACCAGGCTTTTTTAACTCAAAAAGGAAAAATTATTTAACTATATACAGGTTAGGCATGAAAATAAGCACAGGCCCTTCAACACAACCGGGGCACAGAAAATAAACAGCATAAAAATGCAGTTCCTCTGTCCCTACCCACACACCCTCTCTACCCCTGTAGTGGGTTTTGGCCTCAGGATAGGATTTGCTTTTCCCCCTCCTGTCGTGGAGAGAAACTCCAGCCCTCCTCCTCCTCAGGACTGGCCACCAGTACTGCTACCCTCCTGGCTCTCCACCACGACCTATAGTGGCCTGGATTGCCTACGGAGTCTCTGGTAACAGGAGTCCCACCTGTACTCTCACTTGAACCACACTGAAGACCGGGCTGAGACTCCCTTTTCCCCTCAGGAGCCAAAAAACCGCTTTCTCCCTGGCCCTGCCCCTGGGGTGTGTCCCCCTTTTCCCGCTCTTTTCCCTCAGGGATGCTGTGAAGTGTAGGCAGGGAGGTATGGCAGCTCCATTGTTCCTTATGGAGTACCCCCCCACACACATAAGGAACTATCAGGCTGGCAGCCATTTTGTCACAAGCCCATTAAAGTCTATCCCAACAGCTCAGGAGCAAACAGGCAAGTCTCCCAGCCTTTCACGGAATTACATGAAAGGCAACCTTGCAGGGTGAGCCTGCAGAATGAGTTTCCAAACACTAAACAGTTACCAGGTTGCTGGTCACTGGATTTAGATCTGAGCAATGCTCCCTTCTAAGCTGTGGAGTCTTGTGAGCAAAAATTCTACTTTGTGAGCTACTAGCATTAAAGCTGTGAGTGAGAGATTTGGCTACAGCATAAATTGCTCTGGAGCCATCCTTCCTAAGCTAAGACAAAAATGTGTGAGCCAGAAGCTAAAAAAATATGAGTTACCTCACAATAACTCAGCTTAGAATGAACACTGGATCTGAGGTCAATGGAGGCAAAATCCACAAGATAAAATACAGTTTATTTTATTAAAGTGCAAAAAAATAATTAAAAGAC